AAGCTTAGAAATTTAAGCGTAGTGTATCACAAAACCAAGAACCCATTCGGAGCGAAAATTTTTATGAATATTAGTTTTCAGCAGCTCTTATACATCATTTAAGTAAAATCTCAGGAAGAACAATAGTTTTGGAGTTCGAATTTTAGTGACGTCATGTGAAAACCAGCTATATGTAAAAACTCTTGTTGAAGCGCACACCTGGAAAATCTTTTTTTCTCTGTTCATGTTTTTTGATTACGAACCACATGTGTTTTGGTATTTTTCAGGGACGTAGCCAGGATATTTCAAAGGGGGAGGGGCGGGGGGGTCACACTGTGTAAAAGTGAGGGTGCACGTCAGATTGTCATGTCGTTTACGCCACCTGTTGTAGGTTGTTTGCTTAAAAAAGGCTTACAAAAGGGGAGGTCACGGGCATCCCAGGACCCCCCTAGCTACGCCCCCGTTTTTAGATTTTGTAATACAGATATTATTTAAGTTTCTGGCGCTTGATGACCGTGCACGGTTTATGCAGAGAGCTGACTTCACACTTGTTGTTTCGTTACTTTGTTTACACTGCACGCGACTCGCCTGCTTCATGCAGTTAGTAACAGTCAGATGAGCGTTTGTCACGGATTCCAAACAGGTTTTAAAATAATACATGGCGGACGTATTACAGGAAACCTGGGAGGAAATCCCAGTCTCGTGGTTGTCCGTTGTGACAAGAGTTATTTCAACTGCACAGGGCACAAAGTTCATATCTGCTAAAAATAGGTCTGGCATCAAAGTTGCTTTGTTATGTAACTCCACGAAAACATGACAGACACCCGCGCCACCTCACGAGATAAGCATCGTCACTAGCATGAATCCGCCGACTCAATGGCGGGCCGAATCTTCTAGCAGCAGCATTTCTCGAAGCACCATGATTGAGCAGCAGTCTTCCTTCAGTTCTGGGTTAACAGTTAACAGGTAAGAGAAACAACTGACCTACAGTGATAATCAAGTAAAGAATAATGTCAATGGATTAGGGCTGGCGAGAAATCTTAGCATGAAATTCAGCGGGCATTTTGTTTGCTCAGTGACAGTTGAAATCACTTCGTATAACGAAGGTTACCAAGAATAGCTTGCAGTTAATGAACAAGATAAGACGAATATATGTCACAATGACCACACTATATAAACGTTTGGCTTTCATGCGAAGCAGCGATATTATAGAATCCTCGCAAAACATTGCTTTGACATACAAAATATGTTAAGGTCAATATACACCGAGTCCAGGAAAATAGAAACACGTCAAACACGAGCCTGAGTTGTGTCGCGGCTCAGATGCGCTGGCTCATAACTAAACGTGAACTGAAAGCTTACAATATACGTTCACTTTCGATATTGTCATTATTGAATTTATTCCTGCGTCATGCTTTGCTGCATGACGCCACTAGAAAACATAAATAACATCAATACGGTCTCTGAGTTCGGTAGTTGGTAAAGAACAGTTTATCGTATCCAATTATCGGTGTACTCTCAGAAATAAGTCCTTAAGGTGCCATAAAGGTACGTGTCAGTAGACGTTTTCTCAGTGTTATTTCGCATGACTGATGATAGCGTCTCATTACGAGGTTTACATTTTGTGGTTTCGTTCCACTCAGGAGATTTACATCAACATTGTATCAGGTCATGACCCTGGTTTCCAGTTGTCTGTCTTTGTGAAAAAGGAATATGGTTTGAACGAGTTTGCGGCTTTGTCGGGTTTGGTTAGTCATCGTCGTATGTGGTCGCGTAGTTTAGTAATTCACAAGTCATCAAAAAAGTCAGACTTTTCAAAGGTATTAGCAGAGATGAACTAAATGTTATAAACAACACTACATAGTGAAAGTACTAAACTTATCGATTTAACAGAAAATGTGTCTAAGCCGGATGAATTCGGCCCAAACCTACGTCAGTCACTCATTCAGGGGTCTTTGGCCAGCGTATACATTTCCTTCGCTGTTAGAAATAATGTTACACAATATGTCAAAACCTCAGCTACAGACGAAACTCTAGGCGTTTGCTTTCGGGTTGTCTTCATTGACATTATTTCTCAGCGAAGTTCAACTCGTTTTCGACGAAAGCTTTTGATCGAGTTATTACTGCGAGGTATTAAGAAATAATCATTTCAGTCCAATGTCAGCAGTTTTTCCCGGCTGGCTATTTTGGTGTGAGTAACTTCTTCTTATATATAGACCCTCGTTTTATATGTTTGATATCATTACAATTTTTCTTTTGTAATTTGATCTGACGCAGGACCAGTAATGATCACCTGTGGCTAGAGGTCGCTAAAAGATATCAGCAAATAATCGAAAAGGACATCAAACTTCGATACCCCAGTCAGCCGGTAGTTCCAATCAAAACTTTCCAAACTGACTGTAACATACCAAACCCGGTGGAAAATACTCAGTTTGGAAATGACCACCCTCTTCCGCCCTCTGCTTTACCCGTGGCTTATCAAAAGAAAGAGAGATTGAATCTTGCTACAAGACCAAAGGAA